TACAGGGGGGGTACCGGTACCAGAGTCAATGTGAAATAACAGTAGGGAGGGCTATATACAGGGGGTACCAGTACAGAGTCAATGTGTAATAACAGTAGGGAGGGCTATATACAGGGGGGTACCGGTACAGAGTCAATGGGAAATAACAGTAGGGAGGCTATATATACAGGGGGGATACCGGTACAGAGTCAATGTGTAATAACAGTAGGGAGGCTATATATACAGGGGGGTACCGGTGCAGAGTCAATGGGAAATAACAGTAGGGAGGCTATATACAGGGGGTACTGGTACAGAGTCAATGGGAAATAACAGTAGGGAGGCTATATACCAGGGGGTACCGGTACAGAGTCAATGTGTAATAACAGTGGGAGGCTATATACAGGGGGGGGTGTACCGGTGCAGAGTCAATGGGAAATAACAGTAGAGAGGCTATATACAGGGGGGTTGGGGGGGTACCGGTACAGAGTCAATGGGAAATAACAGTAGGGAGGCTATATACAGGGGGGGGGTACCGGTACAGAGTCAATGGGAAATAACAGTAGGGAGGCTATATACAGGGGGGGGGTACCGGTACAGAGTCAATGTGTAATAACAGTAGGGAGGCTATATACAGGGGGGGTACCGGTTAACAGGTCCTAAGGGAAAAATACAGTAGGGAGGCTATATACAGGGGGGGGGGGGGGACGGTACCGGTACAGAGTCAATGGGAAATAAACAGGTAGGGAGTGCATATAAAAGGGGTGGGGGGGTGGGGGTAATACCTGGTACAGAGTCAAATGGGAAATAAACAGTAGGGAGGACTATGATACCGGGGGGGGGTACCCGTTTACAGAGTCAGAGCAAATGGGAAATAACAGTAGCGATGGCTATATACAGGGGGGGGGTACCGGTACAGAGTCATGGGAAAACTAAAACAGTAGCGAGGCTTTAATATACAGGGGGGTACCGAGTACAGAGTCAATGTGTAATAACAGTAGGGAGGCTATATACAGGGGGGTACTGGTACAGAGTCAATGTGAAATAACAGTAGGGAGGCTATATACAGGGGGTACCGGTACAGAGTCAATGGGAAATAACAGTAGAGAGTAGTAGCCTGCGCTTCAACGTTCTTAGTTGTTGCGGAAATTGACCCACTATGCCGTTTACTTAGTGCACCTTCGTCATATCACTGAATCTACCTTTACCACCCAAACAACTGGGTACAGATGAGTCCTGTATGTGTGGTAGATGATGTTGCAGCCATGAAGAGGCTATGGATCAGACAGAACAACACCAAAAAGCATAGCTACCTCTTTTGGAGTGTGGTTGTCTGAGATTCTTTGTCCCTCAAATAGAAACCGTAAGGTACTCATATGGACACCCTAAAGAGCAAGCAGGAAAAGACGGCTGAGTGAATACATACAAATGTTGGGTAAGGAAGAACACATCGTGAGTCCCAAATGGCTCCCTATTCCCTATAGAGTGTGCTACTTTTGACCAGAGCCCTATGGCACCCTATTCCCTATAGAGTGTGCTACTTTTGACCAGAGCCCTATGGCTCCCTATAGAGTGTGCTACTTTTGACCAGAGCCCTATGGGATGCAGAGCGCCATTTGAGACTCACACACAGACAACATGTTGCTCACTAGGAATGACCAGAAAACCTTTAGTCAAGTTGTGAGTGAGATGGGAATATTACCTGGAGATGGGAATATTACCTGTCTCTGGCTATAAGTTGTGAGCCCTCGTGATGGGAATATTACCTGTCTCTGGCTATAAGTTGTGGAGTGAGATGGGAATATTACCTGTCTCTGGCTATAGTTGTGAGTGATGATGGGAAATATTACCTGCTCTGGGCTATAATTGGTGAGTGGGATGGGAATATTACCTGTTCTCTGGCTATAAAGTTGGTGAGTGAGAATGGGCACTATTAACCTGTCTCTGGCGTATTAGTTGTGAGTGAGATGGGATGGGAATATTACCTGTCTCTGGCTATAAGTTCGTGAGTGAGATGGGATGCGGATATTAACCTGTCTCTGGCTATAAGTTTGGGGGAATATACCTGTCTCTGGCTATAAGTTGTGGTGAGATGGAATATTACCTGTCTCTGGCTATAAGTTGTGAGATGGTATGGGGAATATTACCTGTCTCTGGCTATAAGTTGTGAGTGAGATGGGAATATTACCTGTCTCTGGCTATAAGTTGTGAGTGAGATGGGAATATTACCTGTCTCTGGCTATAAGTTGTGAGTGAGATGGGAATATTACCTGTCTCTGGCTATAAGTTGTGAGTGAGATGGGAATTATTACCTGGTCTCTGGCTATAAGTTGTGAGTGAGGGATGGGAATATTACCGGTCTCTGGCTATAAGTTGTGAGTGAGATGGGAATATTACCTGTCTCTGGCTATAAGTTGTGAGTGAGATGGGAATATTACCTGTCTCTGGCTATAAGTTGTGAGTGAGATGGGAATATTACCTGTCTCTGGCTATAAGTTGTGAGTGAGATGGGAATATTACCTGTCTCTGGCTATAAGTTGTGAGTGAGATGGGAATATTACCTGTCTCTGGCTATAAGTTGTGAGTGAGATGGGAATATTACCTGTCTCTGGCTATAAGTTGTGAGTGAGATGGGATTATTACCTGTCTCTGGCTATAAGTTGTGAGTGAGATGGGAATATTACCTGTCTCTGGCTATAAGTTGTGAGTGAGATGGGATGGGAATATTACCTGTCTCTGGCTATAAGTTGTGAGTGAGATGGGATGGGAATATTACCTGTCTCTGGCTATAAGTTGTGAGTGAGATGAGAATATTACCTGTCTCTGGCTATAAGTTGTGAGTGAGATGGGATGGGAATATTACCTGTCTCTGGCTATAAGTTGTGAGTGAGGTGGGAATATTACCTGTCTCTGGCTATAAGTGTGAGTGAGATGGGAATATTACCTGTCTCTGGCTATAAGTTGTGAGAGTGAGATGGGAATATTACCCGTCTCTGGCTATAAGTTGTGAGTGAGATGGGAATATTACCTGTCTTTCTGGCTAATAAGTTGATGGTGAAGATGGGAATTTGACCTGTCTCTGGGCTTATAAGTTGTGAAGTGAGATGGAATCATTAACCTGTCTCTGGCTATAAGTTGTGAGTGGATGGATGGAATATTACCGGTCTCTGGCTAATTAAGTTGTGGTGAGGTGGGCATATTACCTGTCTCTGGCTATAAGTTGTGAGTGGGATGGGAATATTACCTGGTCTCTGGCTATAAGTTGTGAGATGGGATGGGACATATTACCTGTATCTGGCTTATAAGTCTGGAGTGAGATGGGGAATATTCCCTTGTCTCTGGCTATAAGTTGTGAGTGAGATGGGAATATTACCTGCTCTGGCTTAGAAGTTTAATGAGATGTAGACCCCTATTACCTTTCATCGGCTATAAAGTTGTGCGTGAGATGGGAATATTACCTGTCTCTCGGCCTATAAGTTGTGAGTGAGATGGGAATATACCTGTCTCTGGCTATACGTTGTTGATTGGATTCGGGGAATATTACCTGTCTCTGGCTATAAGTTGTGGAGTGAGATGGGAATATTACCTGGTCTCTGGCTATAAGTTGTGAGTGGGATGGGAATATTACCTGTCTTCTGGCTATAAAATTGTGAGTGAGATGGGAATATTACCTGTCTCTGGCTATAAGTTGTGAGTGAGATGGGAATATTACCTGTCTCTGGCTATAAGTTGTGAGTGAGATGGGATGGGAATATTACCTGTCTCTGGCTATAAGTTGTGAGTGAGATGGGATGGGAATATTACCTGTCTCTGGCTATAAGTTGTGAGTGAGATGGGAATATTACCTGTCTCTGGCTATAAGTTGTGAGTGAGATGGGAATATTACCTGTCTCTGGCTATAAGTTGTGAGTGAGATGGGAATATTACCTGTCTCTGGCTATAAGTTGTGAGTGAGATGAGAGGGATATTACCTGTCTTGGCTATAAGTTGTGAGTGAGATGGGAATATTACCTGTCTCTGGCTATAAGTTGTGAGTGAGATGGGAATATTACCTGTCTCGACTATAAGTTGTGAGTGAGATGGGAATATTACCTGTCTCTGGCTATAAGTTGGAGTGAGATGAGATGGGAATATTACCTGTCTTGGCTATAAGTTGTGAGTGAGATGGGAATATTACCTGTCTCTGGCTATAAGTGTGTGAGTGGATGGGAATATTACCTGTCTCTGGCTATAAGTTGTGAGTGAGATGGGAATATTACCTGTCTCTGGCTATAAGATCCTTGAGTGAGATGGGATGGGATTATACTGTCATCTGGCTAAATTGTGAGTGAGATGGGAATTACACTGTCTGGCTATAAGTTGTGAGTGAGAAGGGAGAAATTACCGTCTCTGGCTAAAGTTGTAGAAGATGGGAATATTACTGTCACTGCTATAGTGTAGTGGAGGGAATAGACCGTCTCTGGCTAAAGTTGTGAGTGAGACTAGATGGACTACCTGTCTATGCATAAGTTGTGAGTGAGATGGGAGAATTATTACCTGCCTGGCTATAGTTGTGAGTGGATGGGATATTACCATGTTTTGGCTCATAAGTTGAGTGAGATGGGATATTACTGTCCTGCTATAAGTTGTGAGATAGATGGGAATATTAACCTGCTTCTGCTATAAGTTGTGAGTTGGGATGGAATATTACCTGTCTCGGCTATAAGGTGTGAGTGGGATGGGCATATTACCTGTCTCTGGCTATAAGTTGTGAGTGAGATGGGATGGGAATATTAACTGTCTCTGGCTATAAGTTGTGAGTGTGAGATGGGAATATTACTGTCTCTGGCTATAAGTTGTGAGTGAGATGGGAATATTACCTGTCTCTGGCTATAAGTGTGAGTGAGATGGGAAATATTACCTGTCTCTGGCTATAAGTTGTGAGTGAGATGGGATGGGAATATTACCTGTCTCTGGCTATAAGTTGTGAGTGAGATGGGAATATTACCTGTCTCTGGCTATAAGTTGTGAGTGAGATGGGAATATTACCTGTCTCTGACTATAAGTTGTGAGTGAGATGGGAATATTACCTGTCTCTGGCTATAAGACTCCTTCAGCTTCTTCAGGTGGGTCGTCATCTTCACTTTGAAGTGAATTTCACTGTTGTCCTGAGGTTGGAAGACAAAAGAGAACAGATTCAGAGTCCAACATTTAAACAACTGAGGTCAACAGGTCAACTGATATATGTGGATGAATTGACTCTGATAAACCAACCTCACCATACCTACTGATCATCAGCATAATGGTCCAACTCGAAACTTCTTACCTGACCGATCACTTTCAGTTTGATGTATTCTCCATCTTTTTGGTCTCCTCCATCCTGACTTGAAGGTTTTGTGTCCTTCAAGAGAATAGACATTCCATGAATTGGCTTGGCATTCAATCATATGCTTCAACACTAATATACCAGTTTGTTTTAGCTAGGTCTGCAGATGTGCTCGCCCAATGGCTTTTGTTTCCTTTTGCTATAATGGACCAAGCCGTTACAGCCCCAAATATACTGAACAAAAATATAAAACGCAACATGTAAAGTGTTGGTCCCATGTTTCATGACCTGAAAAAAATAATCCTATTAAATTTTCCATACGCACAAAAAGCTTATTTCTCTAAAATTGTGCACAAATTTGTTTACGTCCCTGTTAGTGAGCATTTCTCCTTTGCCAAGATAATCCATCCACCTGACAGGTGTGGCATATCAAGAAGCTGATTAAACAGCATGATCATTACACAGGTGCACCTTGTGCTGGGGACAATAAAAGGCCACTAGAATATGCGGTTTTGTCACACAACACAAGGCGGGGTGCTGAGAAGTATTTCTGTCTGTAATAAAGCCCTTTTGTGGGGAAAAACGCATTCTGATTGGCTGGGCCTGTCTCACCCACTCTGGCTCCGCCCCTGCCCAGTCATGGCTCCGCCCCTGCCCAGTCATGGCTGCGCCCCTGCCCAGTCATGGCTCCGCCCCTGCCCAGTCATGGCTGCACCCCTGCCCAGTCATGGCCCCGCCCCTGCCCAGTCATGGCTCCACCCCTGCCCAGTCATGGCTCCGCCCCTGCCCAGTCATGGCTCCACCCCTGCCCAGTCATGGCTCCACCCCTGCCCAGTCATGTGTAATCTAGAGATTAGGGCCTAATGACTTTATTTAAATTGACTGATTTCCTCATATAAACTGTAACTCAGTAAAATCTTTGAAATTGTTGCATGTTGTGTTTATATTTCTGTTCAGTGTGACTTCAAAGCGTTTTCCTACAGGGCCTTCAGAAAGTATTCACACCCCTGGACTTTTTCCACATTTTGTTGTTACAACGTGGGATTAAAATGGATTTAATTGTCATTTTTTGTCAATCATCTACACAAAATACTCTGTAAAGTCAAAGTGAAAGAAAAAGAAAACAGTAATATATGTTGATTAGATCAGTATTCAACCCACTGAGTCAATACATGTTAGAATCACCTTTGGCAGCGATTACAGCTGTGAGTCTTTCTGGGTAAGTCTCTAAGAGCTTTACACACCTGGATTGTACATTATAATTTTCTAAATTCTTCAAGCTCTGGAGTTGCTGTAACGACCCTGGGTTTATAAGCCAGATATCGACTCTGCCCCACGAGCACGGTTCACAGTCGCTGGAGCGGCTTCGGGCCAGAAGGTTGAGGGTTTGAGCCGCACACCCTTCCTGGGCAGTCACCTGTGCTAATTAGTATATATTTTTTTTGTTGAAAGATTATTTCTCGCCGATATAAAAGATAAAGGGACATATCAGCATTTGTTTTGAAAAACCGTTTTCGCACGCAATGATTATTGACGTTTTTAAACGTGTGATGTGTTTTTAATCCCCCCCCCCCCAAAAAAAGTATTTGTTTCTCTGTAATACTACTAACCACCTAGCAATTTTATGAAGTTGTCTTTAGCCCAGATAGGTTCCCAATCTCCCATCCTCATAACTAGCTACCAAGAAGCCATTTCAGGATATCAGTCAAGTTAGAGTAGCTAGCTTGTCAAACTATCTATCTTAGCTTGCATGCCTGATGGCAATAACTAAATAAAACTCACATTCCTTTGAATCTGTTACCCAGATTTTTGCAAAAGAAGTTTATTTAGTTTCTTTAAAAAAAATAACCACCTGACTGGAGGATACAGACAGCTCAAAATGTATGCAGAAAAATATGCTTTGGTATGCAGAAAAATATGCTTTGGTATGCAGAAAAATATGCTTTGGTATGCAGAAAAATATGCTTTGGTATGCATAAAAATATTATTTGATATGCATAAAAATATGCTTTGGTATGCAGAAAAATATGCTTTGGTATGCATAAAAATATGCTTTGGTATGCAGAAAAATATGCTTTGGTATGCATAAAAATATGCTTTGGTATGCATAAAAATATGCTTTGGTATGCATAAAAATATGCTTTGGTATGCATAAAAATATGCTTTGGTATGCATAAAAATATGCTTTGGTATGCAGAAAAATATGCTTTGGTATGCATAAAAATATGCTTTGGTATGCAGAAAAATATGCTTTGGTATGCATAAAAATATGCTTTGATATGCATAAAAATATGCTTTGATATGCAGAAAAATATGCTTTGATATGCATAAAAATATGCTTTGATATGCATAAAAATATGCTTTGGTATGCAGAAAAATATTATTTGATATGCATAAAAATATGCTTTGGTATGCAGAAAAATATGCTTTGGTATGCAGAAAAATATTATTTGATATGCATAAAAATATGCTTTGGTATGCAGAAAAATATGCTTTGGTATGCAGAAAAATATGCTTTGGTATGCATAAAAATATTATTTGATATGCATAAAAATATGCTTTGGTATGCAGAAAAATATGCTTTGGTATGCAGAAAAATATGCTTTGGTATGCATAAAAATATTATTTGATATGCATAAAAATATGCTTTGGTATGCAGAAAAATATGCTTTGGTATGCAGAAAAATATGCTTTGGTATGCATAAAAATATTATTTGATATGCATAAAAATATGCTTTGGTATGCAGAAAAATATGCTTTGGTATGCAGAAAAATATGCTTTGGTATGCATAAAAATATGCTTTGGTATGCATAAAAATATGCTTTGGTATGCATAAAAATATGCTTTGGTATGCATAAAAATATGCTTTGGTATGCATAAAAATATGCTTTGGTATGCATAAAAATATGCTTTGGTATGCATAAAAATATGCTTTGGTATGCAGAAAAATATGCTTTGATATGCATAGAAATATGCTTTGATATGCAGAAAAATATGCTTTGGTATGCATAAAAATATGCTTTGATATGCATAAAAATATGCTTTGATATGCAGAAAAATACATATTTTACATAGAATTAGGCATAATGATTATGGCTCTAAATCGCAGGAAAAAGCTTTCAGGCCATCCTCACTTACTTTGTGCCCCCTCAGATTTTTGGGGTGCATGACGCCCCTGGTCGGAATTGTAGTTCACACGCAGCCAACTGTGGGCGAAGCTAACTGCTGAAAACGGTTTGAGAGGGTTTTCAAGAGCTAGCCATATCTATTACTAAAAACAGAAGACGTTTAAAATCGGAGTTCGGCATGGAACCTGAAGTTATATCTTAACTACCGGCCGTGGTGACTCCTTGCTGTCCCCAGTCCGCCTGGCCTTGCTGCTATTCCAGTTTCAACTGTTCTGCCTGCGGTTATGGAACCCCTACCTGTCCCAGACCTGCTGTTTTCAACTCTTAATGATCGGCTATGAAAAGCCAACTGAGATTTATTCCTGATTATTATTTGACCATGCTTGTCACTTATGAACATTTTTGAACATCTTGGCATGGTTCTGTTATAACCTCCACCCGGCACAGCCAGAAGAGGACTGGCCACCCCTCATAGCCTGGTTCCTCTCTAGGTTTCTTCCTAGGTTTTGGCCTTTCTAGGGAGTTTTTCCTAGCCACCGTGCTTCTACACCTGCATTACTAGCTGTTTGGGGTTTTAGGCTGGGTTTCTGTACAGCACTTCGAGATATTAGCTGATGTACGAAGGGCTATATAAAATAAAATTGATTGATTGATTGAGCTACACATAATCATGCCTTATACACAGGGGGTCCTTAGAGGGGTCTGGGCCACCACACATGTGATGCAACGATGCTATGTGATGAATACATTTTCTCGTACTGGTCCCCTGTGGGAATCGAACCCACAACCCTGGTGTTGCAAGTGCCATGCTCTACCAACTGAGCCACACGGGACCATTTCATGAAGCTCCCGACGAACACTTCTTGTGCTGACATTTCTTTCAGAGGCAGTTTGGAACTCGGTAGTGAGTGTTGCAACTGAGGACAGATGTCTTCAGCACTCGGTGGTACCTTTCTGTGAGCTTGTGTGGCCTATCATTTCGCTGCTGAGCCGTTGTTGCTCCTAGACGTTTCCACTTCACAATAACAGCACTTACAGTTGACCCGGGGCAGCTCTAGCAGGGCACAAATGTGACGAACTGACTTGTTGGAAAGGTGCCATCCTATGACGGTGCCACGCTGAAAGTCACTGAGCTCTTCAGTACGGGCCATTCTACTGCCCATGTTTGTCTATGGAGATTGCATGGCTGTGTGCTCGATTTTATACACCTGTCAGCAACGGATGTGGCTGAAATAGTCGAAAACACTAATATGAAGGGGTGTCCACATACTTTTTGTGATGCATTGTATCTCTAACACCCAGGAAGCTCCCATTAAACAGCTCTGCAAGCATTTTAATGTCAAAATACGTACGGAGTTTCGCTGCGCAACTACCTTAATATACTCCCGTTACAGCTTGTATGTCCTTCCAAGAATGGTCGAAATAAAACTGTACAAGCAAATCGGCACCTCCAATGTATTGAGCTGTTGTAGACTTCCGACCTGTGTGTGGCAGTAATGGTTGATTTACATTGGAGGTGCCGAATAGGCATTTTTTTTCGGTTGCTTGTAAATCTTTATTTAGACCTTTTTTGGAAGTAACAGGAGTAAATTAAGATAGTTGCTCAGCAAAACTCCATATTTGGTGAGTAACTAACGTATTTTGACATAACGCTTGCAGAGCTGTCTAACGGGAGTTTGAATCTGAGCTTCCTGGGCCTTAGAGAGGAGCCCAATGATTTATATACACACTAGATCAGGGGTGTCAAACGTCCGGCCCACGGGCCGGATCAGGCCCGCAAACGGGTTTAATCCGGCCCGCGAGATGATTTAAAAATAATAATAATAATAATAATAATAATTTTGTAAAGTATAAAAATGCGCTGCAATTTTTCTATAAAATAAACTGCTGTTCCAATTGCGTCCACTGGATGGCGCAATAGCAATTGTGTTAAGCAAGCAAACTGTTTATACCGGGGCAGAGCA